CACCTCAAGGATTGATCTGAAAGAAAAGAGAATTTCTAATGCCAGAAATTTCATATGATCTAAAAAAACCATGAGGTTCTTTGAACCTACTTGTCTGTATAGATGAGATCAGTGTTTCCTGGGGATACCAAATGAATTTAAAGCCTGAAACCAAATATTTAGCAGGATTCAAATTTTCTTTGTTCTAGTGGGTCCCCATTAAGAAAAAGTATATTGGATCAATTATATTTATTATAACCAATAAAGATTTGTTAGCTGCAGTAGGGATTCAGTCAAGAAAATTGCTGAACAATTAGCACCAAATAGCAAAACAGTCCAGGAAAATAGATTAGTATTAGATGTGATGCCAGAAGAAGAAAGACTGTTTTGAAGGATGGTTTGGAAAATGGAAGTGTCTCAGCAGATCTATGCTAATCTCCTTGGTCAGCACAGTGTGTGTCCTGATCCTTTTCAGGTGCTGTGTTATCCAGTGTGTTAGGGCCTACCTCAAAGTCTTGTTGAGTCAGCTGCTACCGGCCAGGTAACACCTGTTCCTGTTTGTAATCCAAGGCGGAAGAATCTCTGTGAGACTGAGGCCAGCCAGGTTGCTTAGCAAGTTCCAGGTCAGCTAAAGCTACAAGGGAGACCTTGTCTCAAAGAGCAAGACAAAACAAAAAGCAAACATAAACAAAAAGGGGAGCAGTTTGTAAGAAACATTAAATATCGGTCTTTTCGGTCCAATGCGGCAAAACAAACTGCACTCACCTGTCCTCTCCCACACTGCTGTACAATTACATACTCCCAGACTTATTTTCTGGATTCCTGGATGTCCCTTTGTGAGAAATTTAAGCTTTCCTTTTTCACTTTATTTTTTATTTTATGTGTATGAATGTATTGCCTGCATGTGTCTAAGTGCACACCTGTTACCCAATGCCTACAAGGGTCAGAAACAGCATCAGATCCCTTCCCTTGAAATGAGTTACTGACTGTTAGCCACCATGTGGGTCCTCTCCAAGAGCAGTCAGTGTTTTTAACTGCTGAGCCATCTCTCCAGCTCCAACTTAATCTATGTGTCCACTATCCCCCAGACTCTTCTACTTCCTTTGTTACAAAAAGAATCTTTGCTCTGCCAGCTGTAACCAACTTCCTAACATGATCTCTTCCTCTATCCTTCCTTCCGTTTTCCTAGTTTTCCAAACTAGCCAGTTGGGAGAAGGTCATGAAGTTGAACCTCAGTCAGTGAGGAATAGCCAAGTTCTCCCTTGCTTTAGCGATAAAAGACAGGTCATCTTGTCACGTGTGCTTGCTCTTCTGCTTTTGTGAGCTGTGCACCCTTTTGGTCAGAAGTGAAGTTTTGCTTTGCCAACACACTTTAATTGGAGTGGTAGTCTCTTTCTTTTTGACCCCAAACTTATTTCTAACACAAGTATATTGTGCTCATATGTGTATGTGCATGTGGAGATTTGAAGTTAAAATAATATGACTCCTTCAGTCACGCTCCACTTCAGACATTGATTTGTCACTCAGAATTGAAATAAAGCTAAATAATGTAGCTCAGGCCAATGAGCCAAGCTACTCTGGAAAATGAAACAATTGAATTCCAAGTTCCAGGCTGCAGTTCATCAGAGCAGCACCCTGACACAGAAAAACAAATATACAGAACCCAAATTGTAATTCAGTGAACACTTGGGCCTACACTTTTTTTTGGTCTTTTTGAGACAGGGTCTCCCTGTAGCCCCAGTGGGCCTAGATTTGCTATGGAGACCAGGCTGGCCTCAAACTCGCAGACATCTGCCTGCCTCTGCCTCCAGAGTGCTGGGATTAAAGGCATGTGCTACCATGCCCAGACAGGGCCTACACTTTTAAAAGAGAAGATAAAGCAGTCACTTTAAGGTGATTAGAAAGTAAGCCAGCTGGGAACTAAGCATTGCTGTTGGGGATTGATCAAATTTCATTTTTACTTTCTTGGAGCCTCACAATGGCACTCATTCTATAACACATAACTTCTATAACATATTACTTTACAAAGCTATTCTTTGAAAGCTTATTCCATTGGATGACTCCTCAAGATGCAAATAAAGGGTTCAACATGTGTCCTAGTTAGCTTTTGGTTGCTGTGATAGATAACATGACCAAGAAAGCAAGTTAGGGAGGAGAGGGCTTATTTCAGCTACACTTCAGATCACAGGCCACCTTGGAGGTCAGAAACTCAAGGCTTCAGAAGCTTGAAGCAGAAATTCCCTTACTTCCCCTGGCTTCCTCAACTGCTTTCATTAAACAGCCCAGGCCTAGAGTTTGGAGGTTTAAATGAAAGAGGCCCTCCACAGGGTCATGTGTTTGAATACTTGGCCCCAGTTTTGGTGCTGTTTGCAGGGGTTTAGGAGGTGTGGCCTTGCTGGAGGAAGTGTGTCACTAAAGGTGGGCTTTGGGGGTTCGGAGCCTTGCTTTGCTTCACTTTCTCACCTTCTTGCACATGGCTGAGGATGTCAGGTCTTAGCTTTCTTCTCCTGCCACTTCCTGTAACCACATTTCTCCCACCATTATGGATTTATTTCTGGAACCTTAAGCCCAAATAAATTCTTCCTTCTATAAGTTGCCTTGATTGGGCTGTCTTATCTCAGCAACACACAAGTAACTAATCCAACAAAGGCCTATTAACTTCAAAAGTGCAAAACATAGCATGTACTTGGACTATATACTGAGACATCCATGTGTAATACATTCTCACGTACCATCTTCAAAATTCAGACAGAACAATAGAAGATATAGAACGTTACATGTAGGTTTAAAAATTATTTTTGAACATATACAAATTCTGTGTATGATTTAGGTTTGAATTTATTGTATGAGACAAAGAAGTATTGTCAAAATATAAATTCAGCTTCTACAACTAAATAAAAAAGAACAAATTACCCTTCATGGTCCCTGTTTAATGTTATTAAAGATTAAAAAGGATATCCCTGAGATGTCTCTTTCTATTTCAAAGCCTAGACAAGTCAAATAACAATGAAAATGGGCCAAGATGGAAAGACATAAAAGTGCTGTCTGAGGGAGCCCTGATTTCCCTTATGTGCACTAGGGACAAATACTGCAGGCGCTCTCTCCATGAGAAGTCCTCTTCATTCCTGAAAGCAGATCCTAGACAGCTGTTCTTTTGAATACTGCTTCTCCAAGGAGCAAAACAAAGAATGCCAACATAAGTAGCTTAATCTTGAAAAATCTCCCCCTCCTGTAGGCTTCTGGTGCAGATCAATGTCGCTAACAAAGGGGTGACTTGCGTAGTGATTGCAGTGTAGAGAATAAATGCCACTCTTCGCCTGACCCATGGAATATAGGACCGAGTGTTGTGTAGGGCGTGAGTGCCCATCACTGGTCTCTGCCTCTTAGTAAACTTAGGTAGGTTTCAGGCCTCCTGCATCATATCCAGATGGTTTCATAGATTTCTTGGTAAGTTATCCTACTACTGTAGCTCAGGTGGGCTCTGGACATGATAGACTCGATTTAATTTGGGCAAGTTATTCTTTGTTTCTCCAAAGGCTATCATAGTTGAAGGGCATGGCAAAGGAATGCTGCTTACTTCAAAGTAACTGGGATACAAAGAGTCTGGAAAGAATAGCTTGGGTACAAGATACATTTTTTGAAAGGACCCCCAAGTGACTCACTTTCTCTAAAGGGGCTTCATCTCCTAATAGTCTTTCAGTCATGAAACTGTAACACTAACTTCATAAGTAAGAGGAAATTTTGCTTTGTTTTAAAGCCTTTATTTCAAATCACACACGTCTTTAAATGGTATTGTTGATGTATATAATAGTTTGAATATATACCCTATTCAAATGAGTTGAAAATGTGAAAAGCATGTATATACATATGTATATATGAATATACTGCCATACATGTATAAAAATCCTTATAATGAATACATATACAATACAAATATATTTTACATATAATTATAAATAGATATATAGAAACATACACACATGTCCTCATTTTGGCCTGGTTTGAGCAGGGCATGCATAAGAATATGCTATGAATTATAGATACATACATATGGATCAAAATATACAAAAATAATTTATTTTTGATGGGATTATGGAGGAACAACTTGTCTCATGCCGTATATTTATTTCCTTGGAGTTTGTCTACATCTTTGTGCCTTACACATATAATCTTTACAGGTCTATACGTATTTGCAAATAGATACCATTAGATTTAGACAAAAATAATATACATAATTATACATATATATCTATGGAGTATTTATAGGATTTTCAAATATCATTTTTAGTCAAACACATTACATTCAAAAGTATTTTCTAAAAAATAAGGAAGATGTTAAAGGGGAATTTCTGCAAAATAAAAACCACAAAACTCATAAATAGTATTTATAGCATTATAGTAAGTAAAATACACCATGTTTATAAACTTCACATCCCATGTCTGTGAACTACAGAATTCCAATTCTACACAATTATCAGTTTAATAATTATAGTTTAATAAGCTCTTAGCATGAAATATCAGAACAATGTTGTCAGAAAGACTCAGGAAAGAATCATTGGAATAAAGGGTGGGAAATATCATAAATATACTGAATTTTACTGAGGAGCTATTGGCAACTGACAGCAACTGGGGAAGGGAGAATAATTTCTTTTGGAGAATGTGGCCATGGTAGGTTGGCCATGCTCCAGTGGATGATCCCAAGTCCATGCACATATGGACAGAACTACTTGGACTTAGGCTATTAAGAAAGAAAAGAGAAGAGAGCATAAAGATGTAAAGGGGGCATGTTGAGGGGGATCTAGAGGAATCATGGGGGAAACAAGAGTGGATATGATTGTATTTCATTGCATACATATGTGAAGTTCTCGAAGAACAAAAAAAGATATGGTGGCAAATTGTTAACAAAATGAGAGGGTGAAGAAAATGGTGGAGAGGGCAAATACCAATATGAGTGATCCACTGACATTCATGTTTCGTTTTATTGGCCTTCCATGTCCCTCTCACTCACAGGCCACATCATTTCATGTTTTTGTGAAGCATACCATCTTCTTTGCCATGTTCATAAAGGCTTGCTTGACTTGCTGATTCCTGAGGCTGTAAATGAAGGGGTTCAGCATGGGAGCTACTGAGGTATTTAGCACAGCAACTCCCTTGCTCAAAGACGCTCTCTCCTCTGCTGAGGGTTTAATGTACATAAAAATGCAGCTGCCATAAGAGATGGAGATGACAATCATGTGGGAAGAGCAAGTGGAAAAGGCTTTTGTTCTCTGACTGGCAGAGGGAATCCTCAAAACTGTTCTGATGATATAGATGTAGGACAGAAATATTAATGTCAGCGTGAACATCAGAGTAAACACAGCATAGGAAAATGCCATCATCTCCAAGAATTTTGCATCTGAACAGGAAAGTTGTATTAGGGGCATATAATCACAGATATAATGGTCAATGATATTGGACCCACAATAATCAAACTGCAGAAGCAACATGAGGGCAGGGAAGACCATTAAGAAAGAAACCAGCCAACTTGAAAAGACCAGCACCGTGCAGACTTTCCGACTCATGATGGTGAGGTAATGCAGGGGCTTGCAGATGGCCACGTAACGGTCATAGGACATGGCAGCCAGAAGGTAAAATTCAGTGACTCCAAAGAGAATAAGAAAAAATAACTGAGTTATGCACTTGTTGAAGGAAATGGTTTTATCTCCTGAGATCATGGTGCTCAGGAACCTGGGAATACTGACAGTTGTGAAGGAAGCTTCTAGTATGGAGAAATTCCTGAGGAAGAAATACATGGGTGTCTGGAGGTGGGAATCCATCAGGGTCAGGATGATGATGGTCAGGTTCCCAGTGATGCTGAGCATGTAGGTGGTGAAGAGAAAGACAAAGATCACCGCCTGGAGCTTGGGGTCATCTGACAGTCCCAGAAGGATAAATCCTGTTATTTCCGTATGGTTTCTCATTCTCTAGTTGCTTTTCCCTCCTTTATAGAAGGAAACACAAAGGGAAAACCCTGTATGGAGCCGAAATTTTGCAGAAATATTATGCCATTTACACCTTCAGGAGAAATTTATTCCCACCATAGTAATAATGATCCTTCTATTCTTTTTCACTAGAATCACACTGAAACACCAAATTTAGTATCAAAACTACAATGACAGTCCTTTAATGCCAGCATTAATGGCTGTCATTCAAAATAATAAAAAGAAAAACTGGGGGCCCTTTAGAGATGGTTCAGCCATTAAGAGCACTGACTGCTCTTGCAGAGGACCTGAGTTCGATTCCCAGGACCCACATGGCGGCTACGAACGGTCTTTAACTCCAGTTCCAGGGGAATCTGAAGCCCTCTTCTGACCACCGCAACATTGCACAACATGGGTGCACTCACATACATGGAGGCAATACACTCATACACATAAAATAATAATTAAAATATTATAAAAAGAAAAAACGGAATCTGGGTGATCTGTGGAGAGAAAGGGCTTATGCATTGTTGTTAGGGATGCAAATTAGCACCACTAAGGCTCCAAAAACACCAAATGGAGAACCACAGAAGGATCTAGCCATCCCACCCTGGGAGCTGACGTCAGAATACAGAATTACCTGTGTTCCCAGGCTTATTGGGACAGCATTCACAAAGGCTACCATACTGAATGAGCTTAAGTACCAAATGTCTGTGGAATTAATTTAAAATATATTTTGCCATAAATAACAAAATCCTCTCATTTGAAGAAAAGTGGTTAGAAATGGAGACCACTTTGTTAAAATAAATTCAACTTGGAAAATCAAGTAAAACATACTCTCTTTGTTATGTGGAAGCTAAAAGTGTAACTCTGAAGTATATAAGTCATTTATGATTCTGGTTTCACATGTGTGTGTGTGTGTGTGTGTGTGTGTGTGTGTGTGTGTGTGTGAAAAATTGTGGTTGGACAAATTCTGTGCAGCCAGTTGTGTAACTGGAGTTAACAGACTATTGTTAGCCACCAAGAGGGATTCCCCTGGGGTGTGTGTGTGTGTGTGTGTGTGTGTGTATGTGTGTGAAAAATTGTGGTTGGACAAATTCTGTGCAGCCAGGTCAGTGTATGTCTACATCACACTGAACCCCATTAATATGCACAATTAGTTTAAGTGAATAATTAAAGGTAAACAGATCGAAGCAATAAGCAAAACAATCTACTGGTATCACAAGCTTGAATGGATAGGGCAGTTTTAACCAAAATTTCTGTCTGTAAATATTTATTGAATGTTAAATAAGTTAATAAATAAAAGCATGTGAAAAAATGCTTAACATTTAAAGAGAGTCATGCAGATTTTTTCTCAAAACAGAAACTACTGAAATGAAAGCTTTGAGACTGGGGCCACATCTCGTATTAACATGTGGGTGTCATATATATACACCCTTCTCATATTTCCACACACACCCTTCTCATATTTCCACACACACCCTTCTCATATTTCCAGCCAGGATCTGATCATAACATTGCAGGCAGAGTAGATATTAATAGTGCAGCAAAAATTTGACCCAACACCTTTGAGTTTGTCCTCCTTACTAGGAATAACCTTTCTGAATATGATTATGAAACTATAGTGAATTGTATAAATGCATATACAAACACATGCACAACTCATGTAAATTATTTTCTTATTTCCATGGCACTTGGCAAATACCCATTGTACACAAGCCATAAAAAGCTTTTAATCATGATTTTCAACCATACTTAATGCTGAAAATTTTTATCAGTTCCTCAGTTACGATGAATATTCTTGAAACTTAGGACACCATTACATCTTCAAAGCTAGTTCAACATGCTCCAGTTATAGAAACTACTTACCAGTTCATTTAAGTTTGTTGTTGAATCACATTCTGCTGTGAGACACAGTTCTCCATGTGGTGCTACATTCTAGACTGGATAATAAGTTTTGATCTTAATTTTGTAGGATATTTCCAAATTATTACTTTACAATGTGTGTTTGCTTCCTTGGGTGAAATTCCTTAAATTGAGCAAATTGAAAACAAATGTTTGCAAGGAAAAACACATTATTTTGACATAAACTTCAACAACCTTTCATAAAATATTATTTACAAATAATTTTCCTAATATTTCTCTATAGCTTTCGATTGCCTTTAATACTGCTATGGTATTATTATTCTTTTTAAAAATTTTAAAATTTAGTTGTATGTGTATGTATGTGTATGGTTGCTGCAGAATATGTATGGAAATCAGAGGATAACCTGTAGGAGTCCTTCCTCTCCTTTCACCATGTGGGTGCTGGGGATCGAACTCAGGTCAACAGGCTTGGTAGCAATAGCTTTTACCTGCTCGTCATCCTACCAGCACCAGTATTATCATTCTTAATTGATCAGAGTTTGTTTGGATTAAAAGCACCAATTTCTTATAATTCCTCGACATCAAAAAATACTTTCCATCAGATAAGATATGATTTGAATCTCCATATTGAAGTGCCCATCACAAACTCCTAAAATTGGGAGCTTATGTTTAATATATATACATTATTGTTGTTTTTGTTTTTATTGTTATTGTTGTGTTTGTGAAAAAGTGTCAATGCATTATACTTGAAATAATTTCAAGTTTACTCCATAATTTTCTTGTTAAGTTGCCTGTTAATTTTAGCACTATTTCTGGATACAATGCTATTACTCACTTATTTTGAGCTCCCAGTCAAAGCTATAGGAGCTGTGAGGAAGCGTGCAGGAAGGGTTCTTGAGAACATTCCCCCAGATGAATATATCTGTAGCTAATGTTCAAAGACCTGAAAATCAGGCTTCAGAAAACTTCAGTAGGATTTGGATCCAGTAGGTAATACAGCGTCTATCACTGGAGATTTTTTATGTCACATTTATTAACTTCAGTTTGTTGTACTCATACGAAAACAGAAAATTTGCTTGGTGAGAATTATGAGCCTTCACAGTTAATTGAAGGAAGTAAACTTCAGTACTAAACAGGGTTCCTGGCCTCTGAGTCCTAGAATGCACTCTTATTCCAAGGATGTGCTTGTGCAGAGATAGAGGGGTACCCTAAAGCTGTGTTGTGCAGAGGACGGAGGGGTTCCAAAATATACATCATCATTTCAGCTTTTCTTTCTGAATGTTGATCCACATCTTCTCCTGAAGAAACATGGATTAGGCTATAAACCTCAGATTTCCTTCCACCTAATTCATCAAAATCACATCTTATCCTCTGGAGAATGTGAGACATATTCCTGGAATAATTCAAAGTGAAAATTAAAGTGATATTTAAATTTTTTATGCTGATGGGTCTGAAATATCTTCAGGGCCTTTATTTTGAAAACGTTCTTATATTCTGCACTTCCTAAATCCCTACCCATGAAATAAATATCAATAGTGAACCCCCAAGTAAACTAGGTTAGATGTGAGTGATTTGATGTACTTTAAAGAACCCCATCAGGGGTGGAGACATGGCTCAGCAGTTAGGAACACTGGCTGTTCTTGCAGAAGACGGGTTCAAATCCCAGCACCCACATGGCCGCTAACTACTGTAGGTAACTCCAGTTCCAGGAGCTCAGACAGCCTCTTCTGTCCTCCGCGGGCATTGCACAACTAGGGTGCACTTACCTACATGAGGCAATACACACATACACATAAAATAAAAATAATAAATAATTAAAATATTTTGTAAAACCCATCGATATTGAAAAGTACATTAAGTTTGAAGGGTGAAAGGATTTTCTTGTGAGAAACTGAGAGATAAGAGACAATGAATGGCTCCATTTTATTTCTTATGCACGTGCATGTGTGTGTGTGTGTGTGTGTGTGTGTGTTCCATGTATGTGGTGTGGTATGCGTGTACATGGTGTGCATGTGTGTGTATGTGCATGAGTACACACGCACCTGCTATATTTAGTAATATTTTGTATTTCATTGCATGAACGTTCCTGTTATTAAAATGGTAACTTTGAAAGTCTAGTTTTTTCAACTTATTTTGGTGCTTACTAAAATTCTTCTATTAAGCCTCACTAGAGGTCACTAGAAAAATGCCACAGAGCATACCTGCACAAAATATAGCTCATTGATCATGTCAGACTTTGTAATTCTATTTTATGAATTTAATTCAACGTGGGCAATATTTTGTTCGGCTTCAAGTTACACAGAATGTACTTCCAGTGTTTATGCTTTCTGGGGTCTGGGACCTGACACAGGTCTCTTTGGAGACTTTCTTTGGCCTGAATGAAGGGATGACTCCTCAGGAGATTCCACTAAGTGATGTCAGAAAACTAATTTTACCAGAATTTCATTTTACTATATTCCCAATGTGACTTTTCTAGAGAAGTATGAAAATGCTTTGAATAATAAATTTCAATAATTATTGGCAGGTTTAGTCTTTTGCATTAATACTAGGATGTAGTAAAGCAAATGGGGGAAAAAGTATATAACCAAATCATAGTTAATAATAATTTCATAAATAGTGACTTATCTATAAAGGTTCACGGTAAATGGAAACAAAAGATTGCACATCTATATAATTTCAGCTATAATTTAAACAAAAAGAAAAATTAAATAAGTTAACATAATTATCAAATTAAAATCCTATTAATTTCTTATTTAGGACATTCTACTTCAGGTTTGTATTACAGGAAATAAATGGATTTTGCCATTACAGAGACAACTATTAAAAATCCAAATGGGCCACTTAATGAATCTGTGAACTGGGGTGAATTAGTGTCTTTAATCACTAGATTCTCTGTTTAAAATGGATCTGACCATTTGAGAATGTTTTGAAAATAAAATCAGATTGTGTGAATTATTGTGTTGTATAATGAGGCAGCACACAGGCTCCAAGAATAGTTCTATATAAGGCATGTTTGGTTTATTGACTATAAATAATACTGATAATGGAGACACCTAGGATCCTGAAGCTCACAAATACATGGTTTTAATTGGGGTTTTCTATTTCTGTACTCTGGAAATCATATTTTATATATCTAGCTTTCCAGAATTCTAGTTTCTTTAAATCATAGCATTTTTGTGAAAAAGAAGTCAAAAGCAAGCCAAGAATGCTTCCTGGAAGGTTTCCCTGTGATTTGGTCATTAGATGGAGGCCATCACTGAGCAGACTGCTCACAGTCACACTATCTGAAGCTAACAATGTGGAGAGTCACGGGATGAGGACTGACCTTCAGAATAATTGCAGGCCTGTGACAAAGCTTGGCAGTGAGACAACATCGCAAGCCAGGACACTGTAACTCCCATTACACTCCCTTCTTTGCTTGTTTTATACTAGAAAAATAAAACAAAAACAAAACCAATAAGAAACACAATAAAATAGATTATTTTAAAAGATAAAATTAAGATCTCAAAGCTAAAACTTGGATAAACATTCATAATGGTCTGGATTTATTATGTGTTTTCTGTATGAAATGTGGTAAATTATGTTGAAAATCAGTTATTTTTATCTATAAGACAAATTCTTTGTTAAATTACTATAATGTCTAAATAAAAAAGTTACATAATCCAAGCAAAAGAGTCATCATAGCAAATTTTATATGCATATATATAATTTATTTATATTTTATTTTGAATTTAAAAATTACAGTATGTGGGTGCTTTAGTCAGATGTGGCTGGAAAAATCCAACTGTGCATCAATAAATCCAG